ATAGTGTGAACATCAGTATTAAGATGCAGATATATCCAGATAACATGTCCCGAATACATGTGCATCTTGGGTTTCATTGTATTAACCTCGACAAAAAATATACTGATACTAGGAATTGAGAAGTGATACCACTTAAACAGACCATATCCCTTAATAGATTGACCAAATTTCGGTTTTGAATATCATCAACGGAATAAAACTAAAAGATAATTTTGACGTCAATATTAATTATAATGCTCCTGCTATCAACTAACTGGATTCAGAACAACATATATAAGCGAACAATATTGTTTTCGATTAGATCCTCATCACGGTTTAATATACAGTATGTATATTCAAGCCTTTATTATTCTTATCAAAACTAGCACACCTGTCATCACACTACCAATTTGTACTTTTCACTTATGTTTATTTATGTAATCGATTCGATTCGCATATTGGAAGCTGGTATTCGGTGTTCTGGACTCAAGTGGACGGGCTAGGCAGACATAGGACCAAATAAGATGCTAGGCTGCTCATACCGGTCGAACGTCATTGGTTTGGCATAGTGCTAAGATTGTGTAATTGGTATTTTGATTGGTGGATAAATCACGTGATAAAAAGGCGGACATAAAGTCATAACAAAACTAGTATATTTTCTGAACAATCTACGTTATTGACGAACTAATACATTCGAATGCTCTACATATATATCCCTAAGATAAGTCTAAGCCAATAAGCTGATTTTATTAAAATCTAAAATCATTAAATTTTTGGCGTACAATGAAAGAGCATTTGAGAATGGAATGATATTTCAATTCATGACAACTATATTAAAAAGGAAGGACCAACAATTGTGTTTCTCTTACGCAACACTCAAATATATTCAATCAGTCGTATTTATTATCTTCAACGATAGATGTTTTTGTAATGAATATCTTGTTTAGATTTTTCTTAATAGAAGGTTTATCATCGTCTGGATATTCACGAAACATACATTTAAATTAACTTAATTAGTTGTATTTCGAACTATGTTTTTTTACTATTTGTGAACATTGTTGCTACAAACTAAACATAGCCTCTACTATGATGAGTAATAACTAGTCATAAATCGTCCAAGATTGGATAAAAGTGCAATTAATTCACCGCACCTTTTAGATAATTTATGTAGGTAGTTTCCAAGGTGATCGATAACTATAATAATAGTTTTCACTAAAAATGAACATAATTCTCAAAATTGAATTCACAAATTAATCTAAGCCAGACCACCATTGAAAACCAGGTTTTCAATGGTCTAGCTACAATGTCCACAAATCCTATTACTGATAAAGTTTATATAAGGTGAATGAAAATTGAAACTATTTTAAGAAATTTCATGATTGATATTTTAATATTCCATTTGGTTTGTCACAAACTTTAACGTATAATAATTGATCAGAATTCATATTAATATTTGACATCTTCTACAAATCACATCTTTCTCTTTAGGATCTTAGAAAGTTCATGCAGTGAACCGAGTCAATAATTGATAAAATTATCTTTAAGAAATGGATTAATCTGGAATTACTATGAATTGCTAATGAACTTCAAACTATCATAATCGTATTATTGTTTCTTGAATTCCAAAGTTTCCCTCCAAACTCAGAATATTTGTATTCCAAATTTTGATTATTACCCCGAAGAAGTCCAGACAAGTTAGCTGGACGAAACGTTGGAATTAGTTAAATTTCAATCGCTGAGAATATTTCAAATATAATTTTCACATATAATGACTTCTCTATACTCGGCGCTCAATTACTGTCAAACTATTCGTTCTAATCTTGACGAATATTCATATAAATAATGAACATTGATTCATTAGATTTTGAAACTTATACAGATTTTTAAAATTGTAACTGATTAATAATGCACCTGTAATATCGAAGCCCTTCGTATTAGGTTACTATAGATATTAATAAGTTTGCGTCATTAATTGCTTCTACGTTCAAGATATCATAATATCGACTGAAATTAAGAATGTGAGATGTTTGATTCGAAATTGTTGGATAAATGGTATCATATTCACCGGAAGATATGAAATGTCTTATAATGTAATCCGTATGTAATCGTATGTATTCACTTTTGAGGACTTTCTAATTAAGCTAAAATATTTATTTAGTGTAACCTGGTTTCAATGCTTATACAATTGACATCAGTTCAGAATATAAATTACTTTCAAGTAACCCTAATTAGATGAAATTATTCATTAGTAGTCTAGTTTTCTTATGTTGAATTATAATCCAATGAAAATTTTGGATATAATACGTAGTTTTAAAGAAATAAACATTATTATCAGAAGAGGATTTTGTGGAAATTTTAGTAATTTTATATTTGAATTCATGAGTCAATTGAAGCTAGATCACCATGGAAAACCTGGAAGCACTGGACGGCCATTTCGTCCTAGTATGGGACGCCTCAGTAGTGAGCACTTACGATCCCGCCCAGCGAGATTCGAACCTAAGACTTGTCAGTCTCGCACGTGGATTGGTTGAAGTTAGACATCAACACCGTTAAATGCCGGCTCAATGGTCTAGAGATTAAGCGTTCGCGCGCATGGTCGATAGGTCCTGGGTTCGAATCTCGTGGGGCGGAATCATGGATGAGCACTGGTGAGGAGTCCCCATACTAGGATGAAACGACCGTCTAGTGCTTTCATGTTTTCCATGTTAGTCTAGTTTCAATTGACTCATGAATTCAACTTATGAAATAAACATTAGTTATTTTACATTATCACATTTAAATGGATATATATATATATATATATACACTTATTATCGTCAACCTATTGAAGAATATTTATCAGTAAATCTATTTATATTAGCTTGAAAGAATCGTTCTAATTCTAAATATTTTCAAGAATTTATATAACTGTTTACTTTACCTACAAAATGTCTGATCTCTGTAGCGTTTTGGGTTTTCATCTTTTAATTCATTATTCTCGTTCAAACTTCAATGATGTTTATCTATTATTCATGTCTCTTTGTAATTTTCATATAGTTTAGATAAACAAATAAATTATTGTCTAACCAGCTGGGCAAATTTATTATCTGTATAACACATTAAGCAGATTGAACAAGCTTATTAATAATAATACTCTATTCATAATTAATTTAACACACTTGTATGATTTTTGTTGTTGTTGAAAATACTGTATGGAAAATTTTTGTAATCAACTTAAGTTATTCACAACATTTTCAATGTTGATTACATGTTTAGTACTTGATATTATCCGTCACTTTTCTATTTATGTTGTCAATGTGAGTTGGATATTACAGTGTTAAAAGTATATCTTCATATTCCCAAAAACTAGCTAGTTTCATGATTTACTAAGTAATTTATTTTAAAAACAACTTACATGATACACCCATATGTCTTGAAGAAAGTTTTAGTGTGGTCGAACTGTGATTATGATTCACGTGCATATACGTATTATTATCTACCACATAATTATATAATGGTCACATTTATGTATTCAATTAAGTCCAAGCAGATGTTTACGAATACACATTATCATTTATAGTACAGGAATCAGGGATAAAATGTTTATAAAAGACTTTTGGAATATGTTATACACACAAATATAGGTGGAGAATCCTGTCCCTTGACATATTTACATAAAATTATGCATTCCATGTGAATGGGGTGAATATGTTTGTTTGTATTTATAAATATTGATTGCGTAATAATATCCTATGAACTAAACAATTAATTGCCACCTGGAATGGATTAAAGTTTATTATAAAATGTGATACAAAAAATATGTCCAAAAAGAGACCTCAATAGGTCATTTTAGTCACTATATTCCTTACTTTGTAAAACTGATCATTCCCACATGAAAGATATTTCAAATGCGTAGCTTAAGTCCTATTAAGCTCGTACTGATGCAACCGTTCGAATAAAACATAGTACCACACCAAGTTTTACTAGTGATCATGGTTATAACCTACTAGTTAGCAGATGAATATAGTATGTGATGTCAAATCTACGTTAATTCTTCCTGTTAACTTCGGAATCTTATTGTGTTTACTGACTCATACTAATATGAATCAGCCAGCTCACATGATTTAAACATGGATTATCTAGTTTTCCAACTTAGTGTGTTTACTCCACTTCCCTCTCGCGTTTAGACGCTCCTGATGGTCCACAAATGAAACGCCAAGGTGGATGAAGGCTCTTTACCAGACATTCCTAATCAATAGTATATGTCGTGACCATATTTAATAGTTAACGAAGCAACTTCAAGGTCGACAAATAAATTTAAGTTGAGCATAAGAACTTTACTAGAAAATTTAAAATCTATGGTGAAGTTGGAAATATTTTAATCTTAGTAGTGTGAATTACTCTTAAAATTTACGGATCAAGACAAATATTAAACAGTATATTGTTTGATTACTCTTGATTGAACCTGGTTTAACAAGAATTTTTCTGACTTCTTGTCAGAGTTGTAACATTCAATCCAGTTGAGATGGGTGGATGTAGCGCAGTAGTCAAACTGTGGTCTCTTACTTACGCCTGTTACTCGTTATGTTGCCCATAATATGCTCTCACTTCTCATAAAATTGACATCCTGAAAATTTCACAACTAAAATGATATCCTTCCTGGATTCGTTTTCTAATATGAAATCATGTGGTAAAACGTTTTATTTACACATTATACAAAAAAATAGGATAAAATAACAATACTCTGATTCAAAAAGAAACTGTTTAGGTTATTTTGATAGCAAAAATATGTATTTTCAAAAAGAAATAAGACTGTCCGATTATATAGAAGTCTGTAATACATAAGTTAATAAAAGAATCTGTTAAATGAACAAAAACCAGAATGTTTTTCTTTCTTGTTTTTTTTTTTAATTTCGAAAATAAATATTAGCCTATTTCAAATAACAAAAGATATGATAATTACCGGGTTTTGGTTTCCCGAAAACAAAGTGCTTTATTGTTAATTAAATTAACTGAAGAGAAAAAAAAGTGAAATTAACACCTTAATTATTGTAGTGTTCATATTGAGGAATGTGATTTATAGAAGAGGATGTTAAAGGCAAAGAATCCAATCTTAATGATTGTGAATATTCTGTATTCATCGGAAATGACAGATGTGATGATGATGATGATGACAATGATGTTGGTGGTAAAGAATTAATGAAAGAATTCACACCCATTTCTGCTGATGTTATAAAATGTGTTGAGGAATGAATAAAATCGTTATTTATTTCATTACTAGTATGGTTATTGGAATATGGAGTCGTTGTTTTATCGAGACCATGTAAATGAGTACGTTGATGTGTTTTACAATGATCAGATCTACTAAATGATTTTGAGCATAAATTGCACTTGAATGGTCGTAAATTTAAATGTTTTCTTAAATGTCTCGTTAATTCATCTGAGCGTGCAAACGTTTTCCCACATATTGGTATAGTCAATGAATTAATCGGAATTTTACCAGTTATATTACGTGGATAAGGAAATACACAAACTAATGGACGTTCACCTAAAAAAATAAAATAAACATGCATCGTATTTAAATCAGTTAGTTCTTATGGTCAATTTAGATGGAGTTTATTTAAACTATTTAGTTTTGATGAATACCATTTTATTTGCGTTAAGGTATTTGTAAAGCTTCTTCGATTTAAAGTCCGTTTCACTTACTTCAGCTGGGGAACTACTTAAAACTAAGCAACATTGGACAGTTATTTTATCCCACTTTAGAACCTGGTAAAAGTGTACATTAACAGCCCTTAATAGTCCTTGAGTTTAGAACCATCAAGGAACAATTGTTCATTTCTGTTTGTTTTTTAAATGATAATTCAGCTAAAGAGAATTTATAAGTACCAACTTCAGATATTACCTAAGTTTACATGAAAAGCACAGTTTTAATCAGTTCACCTTTTTCTAATTAACGACTACATTTGAATCCAATACTTGCAGTATAGAAACAGCATATTTCAAGCAAATAAAGCACTTAATAGATAGATCGAAGGATTTACTAGAAATCTGCTATATTTGGGAATCAGAGCATAAGCAACATTTTTATCACAAGCGGAGTTTCAACATCTCATAATTAATCATTAATCCTCAAACTGTTATGCTAGTATATATTTGAACATGTAGAAAATGGTTCTTTCTGCAGCTTACATTGGTAACGTTCGGAACCATTTTTCTAGACCAGTTAAAATTGTGCTAAGAGATAAGATTTATGCCATAATTTAGTTAGTTGATAATATAATGATTACTTATAATAAGTAGTCTTATTAGGTTGATGGCACTACACAAATTGACATAAGTACATGGGAATTTTTGTAGCCCTTAAATTGACTTTTTATGACAGTAGGAAGAGGAATGACTTTCGTGACCCTTTTATTTATGATTACTCGACTTCTAGTTTCCTTCCAGCACGGAATTCACTCAGCTTCTTCTATTTTGGTTTGTCAATACCGACGTGCAGCGAAAGTTGACATACAGTAAAAAAATAACTGACTATCAAACTTGGGGTTGTCTCTTGTTCATCTAAAACTAGGTTCAAAATTATATCGTTTTGATTACCAGTTGAACCTAATAAATACGATATGTATTTACACTTTCCCCTCACATGTGATATAAATTTACCTAGTTTCACAGACATGTTTGTAACTTACTGGCTGTTAAAATACGTTTTGTAGCCGACGAGCTAGCTAACCAATAAAGTAACGTACCTATTGGATACGTGTACCTAAATTCTACTTGTTTGATCACAGAAAACAAAGTGGTCCATAGAACAGTATAATAAAGTAATGTATGAATATGTACCAGAAGCTTCAATGACTAGCATCTAAACGATTTCTATTCGGTAGCCGGTTATTTTTCCTTAATGTTTGAAATAAAAGTACACCATTAAAAAAATGTACCACTTACCAGTATGAATTCGATAATGAGCTTTTAGATGGCTTGACTTTAAATATCTTTTCTCACAACCTGCAATGATTAACGTTGAAGAAACAAACGTTAATTAAGTGTCGCATTTGAAAAACGTACGTACATTAAATTCTGTATTTAGTCATTTGAAATAAAGAAATACACAAACGCACTATTACTGATAATGTGAAAATCAAAGTTATTATTTTCATAAACTACGGTAGACCAGATCAATTATCTAACGAAGTTGAGATTTTGTAAACTTTACTGAGGAAAATCCACTGTCAGGTTTAGTCATAATTATAGTTTTACAATACACATACCTCACTTTAAGTCCTGGATTCATGTTTCATAATTACTGATAATGGCAACCAAGTTACTTGAGTAAACCGTAGAGCTAAGTATCTATTACTTAAATGAAGACCTATACACAAACTCAAACTAGTTTCTTAGCGTTGTATTGAGTAATGCCACCCATGGAGATCCTGGTCGGGAATACACCTTAGGATGCTATGGGACTTTATTTCGAGCGGTTTTACATGATTATTGGTGTGTAAAGAGATAACACAAATTATTATATTAAGTATGACTACCTGATTACTACTTATAAGGCTAAGTATAACACCAATTCTACGTTGTTTTGGAAGCGAAGCACGGCACTTTAATGAAATGCCAAAATTTAACAATAATCCTAGCAACCAGAAATAGTATTTAAGCTACAAGAATTCCCAGGTGTTGATAATTATAAAGTTTTTTGTATGGTTCCAAATTTGTGCCATAAATAGAAGATACAATCTAGGAATGACTTTCACGACTAACAGTTAACTATTTCGCCCCACTCCAAGACTCTTCAGTTGTCCACAACTTCTAAGACTGAATACGTAACTTTGGGGATCGTTATACTCGTATCTGGACGATTAATATAGTTATGAACAAAAGCAAAATTCAAGTCATCTTATGGGTCGATCTGATGCAGTCTAAAAAGAAGATACAACTAGAACCAGTTGCGCAACTAGCATAGACTAAATGATCAACCACGTTTTTCGAAAGATTGTGACCAGTGTCATATATTTCCAGGTATTTTGTACGGGTAAATGTGAGGTAATTTCAAGTAGTTTGGTCGAGTAACATTATGAAAACATCGCATTCAATCTAATAACCATACAGTTATATAACCGTTACTAGAAGCTACGCATTTTAAGTATAACCTATCATCTAGATATTCATCAACCATGGATGGTGATTTACGTCAGTTGAAACTGTTCCCACTAACTGATTATCCCTTTGTATTCGATTGCGCGCTTATTACGAATTACAAATATAATACGTTCATTTGTGCTTATATAGTTCTACCTACCTTAAATTGTACTATTTCGGCTATTCTTAGTCAGTAAATTAATTCGGATACTCCAAATTACCATAATTTCCTACAGACTAATTAAATTATTGGAGAATAACAATTAAGAATGAATACAAAAATCGCAAAATCTACTTGAAATTTTGACTGTTTTAGGTTTGTGTCCTTCCAAATTACACCATACTAAACAGTATAATAACTGCAAGCCATGTTCACAACAAATGATTACGTGGCACTTAAGTTTAAGCCACACATCTTAGTTGTTTTCATTTATTAAGTTAACAAATTTACTTTCTTGAAAATACCTAATGACAATGACAACATATAGTGGTTTGGTTGAACTAATGACACTACTAAATAATGATATGTACTACTAATCAAGAACCAAAACGAATAATGAAAGGAAAGCTTACCAGGAAATGTGCACGCATACTTTTTCTTCATCTGTTCATCTTTGATCGAAAAGCAACTGTTTTCAGTATCACTATCCGGAGATTCAACTTTACTGGGGAAAACTCGGCTTTGGTTTCGGATAGGTGAATACGATGAATAACAATTATAAGTTTGATGACAACTGAACGAATGATGAGTATTATTCGAATGTGCAGGTGAATAGTTATGATCATATAAATAATTATGAGGTGGGATGAATGAATAGTTTATCATGTCACTCTGAGAATAGTAAGTATACCCAGGTAATTGACAAGTAGGATAATCGTTCTTGATTGCGCAGTTCGAAAAATTATCCGAATATGATGGATTAGTGTATGGAGAAGGAATACTGTGCTCATAATTTTGAACGGCATTCTCAACTCGCATGCTTGATTCTATATTATTGATTTCTTTCATCGGCGTTCGTCCCATTTCTTCTGGGAAACTGGGCTCAATCTTTACACAATCATACGAATTCGCTATCATCTGATTCGAACAGCCCCCTAAATTATTGGAATACGAAAATATCGGATTTGTTACGTGTGATAAACTACTACACTCCATTCTCCACACTAAACTTGCAAGTTTAAAAGTGGTGATAATATAAATCCTGCTTATAAAGGGAAATTCAACACGATAGTGAATTAGCGCTTGACATAAAATCAACCAATCACAATTTGAACCATTGGGATGACTTATTACAAAAAATAATTTTGAGCGAATGAAATAACTGGTATTTTGTCTCTCCTTACATGAATGGGTTGATTGAATAAAATTCCCATTGGATGTAAATATTATAACCATTGATGTTTCGGCAAAACTGACAATCGGACGGGATATTTATTCGAACAACATAGTTACTTTCTCAATACAAATGAAAAAAACGGACTCTGACAATTAACATCTGAGTGTTAGTTGATTGTTTAGCATTGATGTACGAAGTTGCAAAAAGTTTCATACACTATCCATGAGGAAAGTCCTATTATCCACCCAATAAGTAAATATTGAATGAAACCTGCATTATGACAGGCAATAAAACTCGAAAGTAGTTTAATTTAAAAAAAGGTTTTAGTATATTTAAGTGATCAAACAGTATAAACTTCATTTGAACATAACCCACACAGAAACTTTATGTGATTGAAATGATTTTTAACGTTGTAGTTGAGGTTAACTTATTTAAAAATCATGTTTACTAAAACTCAATATGTCTTCAGTCCCAAACGCTTCAGGTTCACAATATGTATTACATTCCGATGTTGCATAAAATGTTGGAGATCACAGTCAAACTTTATTGGAAACTTTCCTGAACTAGATGAACGTCTTGCTATTGCAATTCTCTAACGAAGCACACCGTAATATGGATTTTGTCTCAGTACAATTAATTGTTTAGAGAAAATCTGGAATATAATTTTTCTGATTATTTTTATCAACAAGTAGGTTTCAATCTACATGTTTGGGGATTTAATAAGTTGAATATTAGGTGTCTGGCAATCCAACTTGGCTGTTGGCTTTACCAGAGTATGAGTTAGTAACATGTTTCGAATTGATAGTCACTAATTCGAGTTATTCTGTTTCCCACAAACAGAATGATTAGTTATAATGAGTTGGACCAAGAAATATCACCATTTTTGGTCCTACATATTTCTGGTGTTAGAAGGAGGGTTTACAAAGTAGAGAGCTTACATAATAAGACCAACTCACAAAAATGTCTTGACTTACTCCAAACAGTCATGAGTTATACTGTCACACTCTAAGGTAGGAAAGAGCGTTTATGCCAATCAAGACTACATTCATGCTTCTCAAGAAGAATAAATCATCTAAAGTTTGGGTAGCTAAGATGTGTCAATCATCCTCATACCTTCAGTAGCACTTGAATTTATCTTGTTCACAGTAGAACCCCTTGATTCTTAATATTTCTTCACTACCTATTATTAGTTCTGCTTTTCTCGTCTCATCTTTCTATATAAGTTCAACCAGTGATGATGTATGGAGCTAAAATGAAATTAAACACTTAGATATTACTTAGAGTATTTGGAACATTGAGACTTGATCGACAGACCAGAATCAAAAGTATAGACCAAACAGTTTAATATTGATGACCATTGTATTTAAGCATCTCAGGTCTGCCGGAGATTAATTTCGACACGAATACATTAATGATGACCGCTTTGGTAATAATACTACTTACCATGTGTTAGGAACTCACGAATAGTTTCACTTAATTCAGGAATCTAGATAAACTTTAACATTGATTGCCAAATATCATAATGTCGAAGTCCGAGATGAACAGACATCTTTTACCATATCAACTGTAATCTTATAATCAAATTAAGACCCATTATATGACGCATTTCCAGTTGGATATCTAAGTGATGACATATTATTAGTAAACTTTGGAGGTTCTGTGTTTAGTTTCAAATGAGGTCATAGTTATTTCATGTTGAGATTTCACAAACTAAGGCAAACCAGTTGTTACTCAATCTTCGACTATCAAAATATGCTCAGTCAATAACAGTCCGAAATTCGAATGATGATATTTATCATTTATCTAATGAACGTCTTCATGTTTAACTAAACAAACATTCTTTAACTTTTCAGATTTATCACAATAAAAGCAATTGACTTTCAGTTAAAATATAACATAGTGCATTCGAATAGCTCAAATTTATACATCTACATTCTTGTAAGGATTTTTATTTCCCTATTGCTGATATTGAGAACTTCAACTAGACAGTCTCTTTTGCCTTACATGCATCCCAAGGGTATTGCCTTGATTTCGCCATTTAGCCATAAGTTTTTAGTAAAGTGGATATCATAAACTAATAATTGTCTGGATTCAATAGTTCGGTGGATAACGTGCATAGAGTTTGAAGTGAAAAATTCTGAATTCGAGCCTCAATGTAAAAGTCAACACTAGGTTCTAGCTGATGAGGTCCAAATAAAAGGAAAAATCTCTGGATTCTACTACTAATCACTATCCAATGTCACAATAACTACAAAATTTTTTATACCATTTTGATTAAAATACTTAAATGGCCATGGAATCACCACTTACTAACTGAATCTTATTAATTTTCACAGATTGAAATCATGAGTCAGTTGAAGCTAGACCACCATTGAAAACCTGGAAGCACTGGACGGCCGTTTCGTCCTAGCATGGGACTCCCCAGCAGTGCGCATCCACGATCCCGCACCACGCGGGGCTCGAACCCAGGACCTACTGGCTTCGCTCGCGAGCACTTAACCATTAGATCACTGAGCCGGCATCCAACGGTGTTAATGTCTAACTTCAACCAATCCACGAAGTTGCGCCACCATATACCATTGTCTTCAGTGAGCTGATATCTCACAACAGACCTGGTTGTACTCCACTGGTAACGGCTTCCCACTAGAACTGCAGGAGTATCTCTTGAAGTCAGTCACTAGTGAGCAGATGATTATTATCAGAAGGGGTTTGTGGAGATTTTTAGAAATTTTCACAGATTGAAATCATGAATCTTATTAAGATAATATTAAGATTCGAGATTTGAAAACATGCTTTTATGTGACAGTCTAAGTGTGCATTATTGAGAATTTCTAAACAAAGTTTATTCAACTATTCATCTATCCCTGATTTCCAGTAGTTTCCCATCTAAATATTCATCTAAGCAAATCGATACATGATTTTCATCAGTGAGGGTTAAACTTTCACTTAAAAATATTATTCTGATTATTATCTAAAGGGATTACACAGATATTTTTTTGAATTTCTTAGTTAACTTCATTGACTGATATCTAAAAGTACATATATGAAAATGTTCTTTGAAATGATACATAGTAAATATTAGGTACCTTATTTAGTAAAATCATCCTAAAAATTTATCTATAAAATGTCCATATTTGATAATTATCATTTCTAGGCAAATATTTGATTCACACGACATGTGACATGATAATTTTCTTATATAATATTTACGTAATTTGACCTATATTCAAGGAGTTATCATTCTTTATTCTGTTTTAAATAAGATAATGATTAATAAAGGTTATTGAATTCATTCAAGCATTATAACTTATTTGATTTTACTGTGTTAATAAGTATCGAGTTTTATAATGAATTAGAATTTAAATACTGCATTATTCTTTATGCTTTTCTCATTTGTATCAGAAGGGGTTTTGTGGAGATTTTAGTAATTTCAATAGTTGATATCATGAGTCGATTGAAGCTAGACCACTATGGAAAATCTGGAAGCATTGAACGGCCGTTTCGTCCTGTTGTGGGACTCTTCACGAAATTGAGCGACACATCTACCATTGTCATGTGTGATTTACTATTTCACTATCTCGTTTGTTAATTATCAATATAAAATAAAACAGTTTATATAAATCATAATGTTTAAGTATCATTTACGGTAATTTCATTAAATTTCAAGATTGTTTTCACTATGAACATATGTCATTTAGAAAATTTCACATTTCGTCCCAGTTCAATACTCTTCGTCAATATTTACTGTGAGAATTTCACAACCTTCCAATTCCAAATTATTGATTTAGTAGTAATATATTTCGAGATTTGATGGTTTTGATTTTGATTTATTGTTTGGCTATTAGTGTGTACGCTAGAAAATTCTTCAATTAAGACAAATTCAAAATTTTTAAGTAACTAGAAGTTTACTTAAACCTATCTGATGTAAACAAATCAGTACAAGTCTAGGTCTAGACCTTTTACTTTTTATAACATATTATTACTGCTTATCTAATCAAAGAAACCTTCTTCTGTTGTATTCTTTTAAATCGTTTATCGATGAAAAATAAAGTTAATGTAAAAAAAATCTACTAAGCAAATATTTGGATGATAAGCAAAGATGGATAGTGGCTAGCAGTGGAATCCAGGACCCGCTTTTCGTCCTGTTTGGGACTCGTTAGCTGGATGTACCTGCATCTCAGAGTTGATGTTCACTCTGGAACTCGAGCCCAGCACCGTTCGTTTCACGCGCCATTGTGTTATTTACACAGCTACTGAATCCTTATAGCCACATATGCCTTCAAGAGACTGATCAATTGGGAAGACTCAAGTCAGTAATACGAAGTGAATTTAAATATTTGGATGCTCTGAAAATAACATGTTATGTATCGTTCTACAAACTGCATGATTATTTTTTCACTTAATCAAGCTGATAATGAATATCAATTATATATTAGTGTTAGTAATCATATTTCCTTAATTGATCCGCTACATCACTTTAGGACATACTGAAATTGTTAAGGTTTTCCTTTTATTTCGACTTATGGTCATCATTTAGGTATTCGTCATATTTTGTTCTAACTTCACTCTATGTTGAAAATTTAGGTTTTACAATCTGCTTAATTGAATTCCCTGTAGACCTTTTTAAAGATACGAAAGTGAACAGTTAGGATATACAAAACAAACATCGAATGATATGTGTACGTATTTCATCATCCCTGCAATAAGTCTTTTGTCGAAAACTATAGTTCTTTGGATAGAAATTCAAGTTTTTACAAACTTTACAAATAATCTACATCAGTATTCTTTTTGAGATAGACAGTGAAAGTTTTCAGTTTAT